AGAACCAGATGGCTTCATAACTGAATTCTGTGAAATATTTTTTAAAAACTAATACCAATTCTACTCAAACTCTTCCAGAGAATTGAAGAAGAAGGAATACTTCCAAACTCATTTTTGAGGCTGCATTACTCTGGCATGAAAACTGGACAAAGACACTACAAGAAAAGAAAACTGGCCAGGCACGGTGGCTCAAGCCTGTAATCCCAGCACTTTGGGAGGCCGAGGAGGGTGGATCACGAGGTCAAGAGATCGAGACCATCCTGGTCAACATGGTGAAACCCCGTCTCTACTAAAAATACAAAAAATTAGCTGGGCATGGTGGTGTGTGCCTGTAATCCCAGCTACTCGGGAGGCTGAGGCAGAAGAATTGCCTGAACCCAGGAGGCAGAGGTTGTGGTGAGCTGAGATTTTGCCATTGCACTCCAGCCTGGGTAACAAGCGAAGCTCCGTCTCAAAAAAAAAAAGAAAAGAAAAGAAAAGAAAACTGAAAACTTCAGGCCAATATCACTGACAAACAGATGCAGAATTTCTCAACAAAGTAATGGCAAACCATATTTAACAGTACTTTTAAAGGATCATTCACCATGATTAAGTGGGATTTATCTCTGCGATACCAGTTTGGTTCAACATATACAAATCAACAAATGTGATTCACCACACTAACAAAATGAAGGACAAAAAGTATATGATCTCTCAATTGATGCAGAGAAAGCACTTGACAAAATTCAGCTTCCTTTTATGATACAATTGATATAGAAGGAATGCTCCTCCAAACAATTAAGGTTGTATATAAAAAGCCTACAGCTAACATTGTACTCAACAGTGAAAAATTGAAAGCTTTTCCTCTAAGATCAGGAACAAGACAAGGATACCAGTCTCACCATCTCTGTTCAACATAGTACTGGAAATCTGAGCCAAGAAGAATTAGGCATGAAAAAAAAAAAAAAAAGGCATCTGCACAGGAAAGGAAGAAGTGAAATTATCTCTTTTGCTGACAACATGATATTTTACGTAGGAAATTCAGAAGACTTCACTAAAAAACTGTTAGAACTAATGAACTAATTCAGCAAAGTTGCAGAATACAAAATTAATCCTGCTATTACAAAGCAGTCATAGACAATTCATAAACGAATGAGCGTGGCTATGATCAGTAAAACTTTATGGACACTGAAGCTTGAATTTCCAACAATTTTTATGAGTCATGAAATATTATTTTTTTAATTTCTTCTTAACCATTAAAATATAAAAACAATTCTTAGTTCGTAGCCTTTCAAAGACAGATAGCATTATCTCATATTTATGCTTCAACAATTACAAATTATTTTAAACTTGTTTGTGTTTTGAGCGTGCATAGCCTCTTTGACAATAAGGTCTACATACTTATTTTCTAGTGTGGTACATAGTAGAGATCAGAAAATAACTCTGTTGGCTTGCAAGGCTGAGATTTAGTAGATAAGTTCCACCCTCACTTTGGAGTCTGGTGATGCACCGTAATGATTAAACACATGGAGCTGACCTTTTCGGAGGGTCAGTTAGGTGTATCCCAAAAATCAGCCCAGGAACGCATTTTCTAATTCTGACCAACCTTTCCTTCTTAAACACCCCTTTGAAGACATTGCTTTAGTAAAACCTAATAAAACACAGCATGTGGAAGGTAAGAGAAGAAAATTAACAGGGATATGGCAATGCTACAGCTAACAAATCATTTACAAGTTTCCGCACACGTCATCAGACCATGAGTTATTTGTAAATATTTGTAAAAAAATTAATTTTAAATGTATATGCATATATTTATTAAAAATAATATACATACACTTTATTTATTTTTTTTAATTTTTTAATTTTTTTATTGCATTTTAGGTTTTGGGGTACATGTGCAGAACATGAAAAATAGTTGCATAGGTACACACATGGCAGTGTGTTTTACTGCCTTCTGCCCCTTCACCCACATTTGGCATTTCTCCCCTTTCTATCCCTCCCAAGCTCCCCCCCCCGTGCTGTCCCTCCCCTATTTCCCCCAATAGACCCCAGTGTGTAGTACTCCCTTCCCTGTGTCCATGTGTTCTCATTTTTCGTCACCCGCCTATGAGTGAGAATATGGGGTGTTTCATTTTCTGTTCTTGTGTCAGTTTGCTGAGAATGATGTTCTCCAGATTCATCCATGTCCGTACAAAGGACATGAACTCATCATTTTTGACTGCTGCATAATATTCCATGGTGTATGTGTGCCACATTTTCCCAATCCAGTCTATCATCGATGGGCATTTGGGTTGGTTCCAGGTCTTTGCTATTGTAAACAGTGCTGCAATGAACATTCCTGTGCATGAAGTCCTTATAGTAGAACGATTTATAGTCCTTTGGATATATACCCAGTCATGGGATTGCTGGGTCAAATGGAATTTCTATTTCTAGGTCCTTGAGGAATCGCCACACTGTCTTCCACAATGGTTGGACTAATTTACACTCCCACCAACAGTGGAAAAGCGTTCCTTTTTCTCCACATCCTCTCCAGCATCTGTTGTCTCCAGATTTTTTAATGATCACCATTCTAACTGGCGTGAGATGGTATCTCAATGTGGTTTTGATTTGCATCTCTCTAATGACCAGTGATGATGAGCGTTTTTTCATATGTTTGTTGGCCTCATATATGTCTTGTTTTGTAAAGTGTCTGTTCATATCCTTTGCACATTTTTGAATGAACTTGTTTGTTTTTTTCTTGTAAATCTGTTTGAGTTCTTTGTAAATTCTGGATATCAGCCCTTTGTCAGATGGGTAAACTGCAAAAATTTTTTCCCATTCTGTTGGTTGCCAATTCACTCTAGTGACTGTTTCTTTTGCCGTGCAGAAGCTGTGGAGTTTCATTAGGTCCCGTTTGTCTATTTTGGCTTTTGTTACCAGTGCTTTTGGTGTTTTGTTCATGAAGTCCTTGCCTACTCCTATGTCCTGAATGGTTTTGCCTAGATTTTCTTCTAGGGTTTTTATGGTGCCAGGTCTTATGTTTAAGTCTTTAATCCATCTGGAGTTAATTTTAGTGTAAGGTGTCAGGAAGGGGTCCAGTCTCTGCTTTCTGCAAATGGCTAGCCAGTTTTCCCAACACCATTTATTAAACAGGGAGTCCTTGCTTGTTTTTGTCAGGTTTATCAAAGATTGTATGGTTGTAGATATGCTGTGTTGCCTCCAATGCCTCTGTTCTGTTCCATTGGTCTATATCTCCGTTTTGGTATCAGTACCATGCTGTTTTGATTACTGTAACCTTGTAGTATAGTTTGAAGTCCAGTAGTGTGATGCCTCCTGCTGTGTTCTTTTTGCTTAGGATTGACTTCGCTATGTGGGCTCTCTTTTGGTTCCATATGAAGTTCAAGGTGGTTTTTTCCAGTTCTGTGAAGAAAGTCAATGGTAGCTTGATGGGGATAGCATTGATTCTGTAAATTACTTTGGGCAGTATAGCCATTTTCACGATATTGATTCTTCCTAACTATGAACATGGAATGCTTCTCCATCTGTTTGTGTCCTTTTTTTATTTCATTGAGCAGTGGTTTGTAGTTTTCCTTAAAGAGGTCGCTTACGTTCCTTGTAAGTTGTATTCCTAGGTATTTTATTCTGTTTGTAGCAATTGTGAATGGCAGTTCGTTCTTGATTTGGCTCTAAGTCTGTTATTGGTGTATAGGAATGCTTGTGATTTTTGCACATTGATTTTATATCCTGAGACTTTGCTGAAGTTGCTTATCAGTTTCAGGAGTTTTTTCTTACTCTGTCATCCAGACTGGAGCGCAATGGCATGATCACTGCTCACCACAGTTTGGACCTCCTGGGCTCAGGCAATCCTCCCACTTCAGACCCCCAGGTAGCTGGAACTACAGGTATGTGCAACCATGCATAGCTAATTTTTGTATTTTGAGTAGAGATGGGGTTTTGCCATGTTGTCCAGGTTGGTTTCCCACTCCTGGGCTCAAGCAACTCCTTTGCCTTGGCCTCTCAAAGTGCTAGGATTATAGACATGAGCCACCAAGCACAGGCAAATACGCTTTTGATATAAAGAATGATTACATAGAACTTTCAATAGCAATCCCCAAAAATTCTGCTTGAGACTAACTAGAATATACGTTGTTATTTTATGTTATAGTTTTTTCTTACCAGTGACTATCACAAATAGAAAATCGAAATTAAAATCTCTTGCTAGTTTCTGTTTATTCTGTGATTTTCTGACATGTGAGTTTAAAATGTTTCTTTCAGTTCAGATTTGATTAAACATCTGTTCTGTGGAGTACCTACTCACTGCAGATAAAAGATGAAGAAGGATTCCTTCCATTTAGGTTTCTCAGAGGGAAGACACACCTCATTTTAGTCATCCAATATGAATTGAGCGGCAACTCATTGCCATAAATATCTCCATATCTCCTGTTCCTCTCTGCTCCAACCACAGTCCCTGCCCCTATATCCTCAGCATTTTCCCAGTGCCCTTTGAATTCTTTTCCTAAGCGTCTCTTCCTTTCTTTAAATCTCTCATGAATTCCCAAAGCCTATGTTACAAAGGGGAAGATTCTGCTGGGCAGGATCCCAGGGGATCTAGGGCTGCTTCTAAACTGATGACCTTTTAGCACACATCTCTCATATCTGCACTCAGTCCCAAAATAACACCCTAGGAAGAGGGAATGCATAGAGCAGGTGTTAGATACAAAATAAAGAAACATTAACAACCACTGACTGTTATTGGAAATTGTATGTTTATGCAAGTAGGGGATTATTTTGGCCAGTTTATCTCATTTTGAGGAAGATAAACCTTCATTACAGTTCTGATTGAAGACTCCATTGAAATCATAACCTAAACTAAACTACATAAAGGAACGAAGATCTATTTCCAGGGGATTTCATTTTCTAATTTTTTCTGAGCAAGACATCTACTGAAACTTTGATCTCATAGCAGCTGCTTTGCTGGTCCCCAGCAGGAAACCAAAGACTCTACTTTTGAAGTGTCATAGACAACTTTTCCTTGTTATTAAAAAAAAAAAAAAAAACATATACTTTCCAGCCACTACAAAAGAAAAAATTTCCCCCCGACTCTCCCTGGAGAATACATGAACAGAAAACTGAATGCATCTGTCTGGTGCTACTTCGAGGTAAGGAAGATAAAAAAAGAAAAGGAAACCTGAATTCAAAAGGAAAAATAGCCCACTATTTCTAAGCCAGCAGTATATTTGCTTGTTACTTAGGAGAAATAGTTGTTACTTATGTTATTAAAACTATGGGTAAGGTCAAGTTTAGCTGGAACTGTGAACTGGGTCTTTACCTTAAGCATTGGCCCAGCCTCCTCCCTGGGCCTCTCACATCCATTTTGGCAAACCCATTCCTCTAAAGCACTTACAGCTTCATGGTCTTCTTCCAGCCCCCAGAGAGCTGCCAGGCCTTTAAAAAGAGAAGAGTCATTGGTAGATTCTATAAAACTGAAAGTCAAATTCACTTTGTCTCTGGTAATATCATAGTTAGTTTATTCTGGAGAGAAAAAAAATAATAGTAATTTGTTGCTCACTATTGTGGAGGCTGGGAAGTTGAGGATCAAGCTCCAGCAGATTCGGTGTCTGATTAGCGCTCATTTTTCATAGGTGGTGCTTTCTATATGTCCTCACATGGAAATGGGGCAGACTTTCTCAAGCCTCTTTTCTAAGGACATTAGTCCCATTCATGAGGGTAGAGCCCTCATGACCTAATCACCTCCCAAATTCTCTACCTCTTCTTACTATTGCACTGGAGATTACATTTTAACAGTGAATTTTGGTGGGACCCAAACAATCAGATCAAGAGGCATACATAAAAGCAAAAGCATATACCAATTTGTGACTATATACACAGAAAAACTATAGTAACTTTAAAAAGCCAAAATAGCTATATATAGTTATATTAATGTCAAGAAAAATAGACATTATAACAAATGACCTAGTACTACAGGTATTATATGGTTGATTCTTAGAAATATATATCAAGTTACAGAAAAATATATACAGGAAAAATGTATTTATGTAAAGTTAAAGAATATACAAAATTGTTACATAATATTTGGCAATGTTTACATATGTGACAATCAATTGGTGAGGAAAGACAAACAGCCTTGGCAGTATTTGTCCAGCCATGAGTAGTCACTTTATTATTTTCTATACCCTTTGGTATGTTTTATATTATTAATTCCCTCTATATTACACATTGGTTTTCCTGAAATATACATATATATATATATAATATTCATAATATATCTTTTAAATAAATAATTGGAAGTTAAAAGTGTTAATATTTTGATTTGTTTTAAAAATTATGACTCTGTTTTTAAACCAGAGAAGCTTTCTGGCAACGTCATCTGGAAATAAAACTGCACTTGCCAGCTGCCTGTAAATTATACTGCTCATTTTCTCTATCTTTCAGACTTGTAATCAGAGACAGATCTGGACATGTGAGTTTTAGTTTTCCAACCGTGCACTTATAATTACCACCAAAATAGTTATGCTCTCTGATGGGCTCCAAATGCATTGCCTAAAGCTTATTGCTTAGTGGGTTTACTTTCTAAATTGTTTGCTTCAACTGATCCTCTATAAGTCAGAGACACAGGGATCTAAAAGATGAAATAACCAACAATTACCTGCTTGAGTACTTCCCAGGCCAAGCCAATCAGTGCCTCACTCTCTCTTTCTGTCTCTGGCTTTTCTCCTTCATTTTCTCTCTCTCTATCTCTTCTTTTCTTAACATAGAAAAGGGAATGAAGAAACAGAAACTGTGCAGCCCTGGTCTTCCTGGGATCCTTTCCACAATTCAATCATTAGCTCATCTGCCTTGTATTTGACCATTAGGACTCTAGGAGCAAACTGATTACTAGATGCTTCCTGTATGCTCGAGTCAGGATCTAGCCAAAATGGAATCATAATTCACAGCAAATTTACAGGAATAAAAGCTGTAATTTTTCCTATCAGATGTCCTATAAATTGCATTTTATTTTCCCAGTAGAATTATACAGGTTGAGCTTTATGATTATCGTTTTTAACTGGTTTGAGTACATTATGTTTTAATAAGTCATTTGGTCATTAGCAGCCCATACCTTGTGAACGAAGCCACATGGTGAAACAGGTTATGCAAACCTAATTAGCACTACTGGGAGTCTGAGGATGCGTAATTGACTCTCTTGACGCCTCAGTGTAGCACTGTTATGCGGCATTTTTCTATGATGAGGGGGGAAAAGTAACTTATATATTTTACACTTTTCCGTAATTAGGAAAATGGCAGCAGGGGTCAATTTTAAGACATCTGAATTCATTACACATTTCTCAATTAATTTTAAGGAAGCAGTTTATGATATATGCAAACATTTACCTGTTTTTACAACTGTGTTTGTAAAATTGTGTAGCTATGTTTGGAATTTTTTTTTTTTTTTTTTGAGACAGAGTTTCGCTCTTGTTACCCAGGCTGGAGTGCAACGGCATGATCTCGGCTTACCGCAAGCTCTACTTCCTGGGTTCAAGTAATTCTCCTTCCTCAGTCTCCCAAGTAGCTGGGACTACAGGCGTGCGCCACCATGCCCAGCTAATTTTTGTATTTTTAGTAGAGACCGGGTTTCACCTTGTTGACCAAGATGGTCTCAATATCTTGAACTCATGATCCACCCGCCTCAGCCTCCCAAAATGCTGGGATTGTAGGTGTGAGCCACCACACCTGGCCTGTTAGGAATATTTTTTAAAAATTGAGAGAACTTGAATATCCAAAAATGAGGGCTTTATTGAGTAAAGTATGACATATTCATGTAATGGAACATCCTTTTAAAATAATGTTTTAAAATAATATTTACTGGCAAAGAAATAGATTTATAATATATTGATAAATAAAAGAAGCATGATGTCTTTTTATGTTTATGAATGACAATAACATGAAATCTGAAAAATATACAATGAGATGAAGATAACAGTGATTACCTCCAGGCTGTTGTTGGTATAAGTGACTTTTAAATTCTATTTTACTTATCTATATCTTTCAGTTATTTCCTAGCAATCATATATTCATGTATGTGTAATAAAAATAAAACAAAGAAATCTACTGGATATAAATCCACTTAAATTAAAATATGGAAGGGGATAGTCAAACAGAAATAAAGTTTTGATTTTTAAAGATGGAATAGCACTTCAGAATGTAAAACTTCAACTTTCTTCCTGCATTAGGTACATGACAAAAGGGATTGCTGGTGATATGATTCAGCTGTGTCCTCCCTCAAATCTCATCTTGAATTGTAGTTCCCATAATCCCCATGTGTCATGGGAGGGTTCTAGTGAGAGGTAATTGAATCATGGGGGCAGTTACCCTCATGCTGTTCTCATGATAGTGAGGGAGTTCTCATGAGTTCTGATTGTTTTAAAAGGGGCTCTTCCCACTTTGCTTTGCAGGTCTCCTAGCTGCCATGTGAAGAAGGATGTGCCTGTTTCCCTTTCCGCCATTACTGTCAGTTTCCTGAGGCCTTCCAGGCCATGCTGAACTACGAGTCAATTAAACCTCTTTCCTCTATAAATTACCCAGTCTCAGATATGTCTTTACTAGCAGCATGAGGAAAGACTAATACAACTGGTATCAAGAAGCAAAATTACTAGAAAATTTTGTGTCAGCCATTTCCAAAAGTAAGATTTACAAGACAGTACCAGCTAAAGTAGGGACTAGAAGAGATTAGTCAAATCAAGCAGCTACTAATTAATTCAAGGGCCAAATCTCCTTATTATTCTGATTTACCAGCCATACAGATAAGGCACACTCAAAGAACTTCATAAATTGTGACAGTTGTTAACAATAGGATTGGACACTTGGGAATGCCCAAGGTAAAGATGAAGCCTCCAGTCTAAGAAAAAATAATGATATTCCTCTTAATATAGAATTATTTTTATGGGTTTTCACTTCCTTAAAGAGTACATGGCTTTAGGCAATGCACTTTGATGCATGTGGTAAAAATAACCGTTGTAATTTTTTTTTCTTGGACTAGCTGGTTCTCCCACTGAAAAGAGATGAGGAATTTTTAAAAATATATAGTGGTTTGAATTCAAAATGGGTTCACATTTATAAAAATGAGATTTGTCTTTCTTCTAACTTTATTATATTAGTAACATGTCATCTAGGTGCCTTGGGATAGTGGTAAACTCTACAGATATAAATACATGAAGGATTATGATAAATATATTCTTAAAATCTGAGCATTTTCCATCAGTTTTTGCATTTGGTACTATAGCAGTCTCTGAAAGATCTCTAAGCTTTAATTGTTCACTTACTTTGGCTGAGTGAATTTTTGAAATTCACTTTGTGCTTTTGAAAACATCAATATGATACTGTCTCGATGCCAAACTACCTATACTTAAAAACATAACTGACACTCCATTATTAAAATAGAAATTCTTAACTTTATGGCGAGACTGCAGATTTACTCACACAACATTCAGATGTGTAAAACAAACACAAACAAAAAAAAAAACCTCTTTTATTTTCTATTAACTGATCTGATCTTACTTAATATACCTTATCCTGAGAGGTATCAGAAGGAAAAGAATCTGGTAACTCAAAAGATGGAGAGATTTGGGTGCATGCCCATTTAAGCAGTCTCTAAGCAACTTGGGCTTTTTAAATGAGCCAGGAAAATGCCAGATCAGAGTTCTGTCCTCTCTCTTATCCTTTCTCCTAGGTGACAATGAAGTTTATGAGAGAAATGGAGATAACACATGATCTCATGCTGCTGGTGGACAGAGAAATAACTGTTTGAAACCCCACAGGGTTTTGTGGGTCCTGGCTGGCCTGTGCATGAAGTGGTTGTTCTGGGACCCTCCCAGTAGGGATCATAAAGTGCTACTGATCTCATCATCCTTCTTTTCTGCTAGCCTTGACTACACCAAATCCCCAGGCATCCTGCCCTCTTTGCTCCATGCTAGGCTCTCCAGGTCTCCCAGTTCACCTTGTATCCTCAATATCAAAATACCAGGCCAAGCATGGTAGCTCACGCCTGTAATTCCAACACTTTGGGAGGCCAAGGCAGGTGGATAACCTGAGGTCAGGAGTTCAAGACCAACCTGGGAAACTTGGTGAAACCCCACTTCTACTAAAAATATAAAACTTAGGCCAGGCCAGCTGTTGGGTACCTATAGTCCCAGCTACTCGGGAGGCTGAGGCAGGAGAATTGCTTGAACTTGGAAGGTGGAGGTTGCAGTGAGCTGAGATTCCACCACTGCACTCCAGCCTGGGTGACAGAATGAGACTCTGTCTCAAAAATAATAATAATAATAATAATAATCAAAATAACATAAAGATACGCCTCTGTCTCCTTTATGTCACATTCCCCGCTCCAAGTAAACAGATGCCTTATGCTGGTATATACACATTGTGCCATGAAAAGGAAAAGAGAAAAA